GAGCAATTTTTGGATTTTTATACAAAAACTACTCGAACTATGGTCTCTTTCTTGATGAAGGAGAAGACTCTTTTTGTGATTCCTCAAAAAATGCAATTTTCAGCTTGCAAAAGTTCTTCTCTAAACCTTTAAAACTCCTCAAAAAGTAGATCTTCTAACATAGTTTTATAACTTAGAAAATTTTACTTACCTTAAACAGCTAGAAGCGCGAGAAACTTATAAATAGCCTTAAACTCATATTTTTAAGGGTCTTTTTCTCATCTTTTTTCTTTTTCACATCCTTAGAGAGATAAAGAGAGATTTGGAAGTAAATTTCAAGGCTCAACTCTAAACTTTTCATATTTTAAATCTTTCTTCTTCTACTTTTCTTTGAATTTTTGTTCTGCTTTTTTTTTGTAATTCTAAATTTAATTGTAATGGAAGGCTAAACCTTTGGATTAATTCAATGAATTGATATTTTAATTATAGGAATATGAGGTATTAATCTTGAATTGTTTTCAATTCCTTGACCTAATCTTCTTCTTCTCTCAATTCTATGCATGATTTTGATTGATTAAGGTTTAATTGCTAAATTAAATCTCTAATCGAATTTCACATGAGATTCTTGATATACATTCAAATTTATTAGGTGCTTATCTCACAAGATTTGAATTGAATTGAGAGAGAATTTATATGATTATATACTTGAAATGTTAATCTCCTATCAAGAATTGCTTAATTGCTTCATCTAGGTTAAACATTGAATTCATAATGTTAATTATGCAGTAATCACAAATTGAAGTTAGGTTTTGATAATTGAGAAGCATAATTTGAATCTAATGAGGAATTATAGGTTTGATTGTTAATAAGTGGATTAAAATCAAATAATTACTTGAATTTTATCCAATTTAATTTTTAATTCTATTTAATCAAATTAAACTGAAAACTTCCCTGAGTTTAAATATAATGCATCAAAAGTGTTTGATATTCAATCAATATCTAATGATCTTTAAGAATATGACCTAGGTTAAATTAACCTAACTACTGCATTTAATTTCTCATTAACCAACTACCACCAAAACATATCATAACCCTTAGACTTGGGTAAGCTCACCACAAAATCCATACTTAACTCCTGTCAAATTGCATTAGGAATAGGGAGGGACTGTAGTAAGCCAGTAGGAGATGAAGCTTGATATCTTTTATGTTGGCAAATGTGATATTCCACAACAATGGATGTAACGACCTCCTTCATTCCATCCAATATATATTTTCTGCTATTCATTTGTAGGTACGATAAATACCAGAAAGATCCCTGGTAGGAGATGCATGGTGTTCTTGTAGAGGTTTTGGAATCCAAAGAGAAGATGCTGAAATCACCAACCTCCCCTTATAGTATAACTACTCATTCTCCAAAGTATAATGTGAATATGAATTTGGGTCTTTCTGTAGGTCCCTCATGATTTTTGACAATACTGGATCATATTTAACTTCCTTATCAATTAACTAAACATCCTGTCAGAATGGGTGAGAAATTGCTTGCAACTTCTTATCTTTTTTCCCAGTCGAGAAAGAGCATATGCAACTTGATTAATGTTCCTAGCTTTGTATACTATACCAAATTCATATCCCAACAGTTTTGCCAACCAATTCTACTGATTTTGGGTAGTGATACGTTGTTCCAGCAAGTATCGAAGACTTCTTATCGGTGAAGACCGTAGATTTCCTGCCTAATAGGTAAGGGTGCCAATGCTCGACAGATAGTACGTGCCATTAATTCCTTCTTATAAATAGACTTGGATAGAGAAGAGTCAGACAATGCCTTATTGTAGTAGGCTATGGGTCTCTTATCCTGTGATAGAACAACCCCAATAATCTTCCGCACACATCGCATTCAATGGTAAATCGTCGAGAGAAATTTGGCATAGCTAACATGGGAGCAAAAGTTATGAGTGTTTTAAGCTAGTGGCAGGCCTGTTCAGCCTTTGCATTCCAATGAAAAATTTCCCTTTTTAATAAATTAGTAAGAGGGTGTCCACTTTCCCATAGTTTTTAATCAAACGGTGATAGTATCTTGAGGCCCAAAAAACCTCATAAACCCTTGATTGATTTGGTGATAGACCACTGCAATACAGCCTCAATCTTCCTTGTATCTACTGCAACCCCTTCTTTAGAAATAACATGGCCCTAATAAGCACCTGTGTTTGTCCAAACTCACTTTTTTTGGCATAAAATTATAGGTGTTGTAATGTCTCAAACACTTGTTCTAAGTGGGATAAATGATCTTCTACCCACGTTGGATTGTAAACCAAGATATCATCCAAGAAAACAAGGATAAACATTTGAAGAAAAGGTTTTAAAGTAGAATTCATGGTTGATTGGAAAGTAGCTGGGGCATTTGTAAAGGCCAAATGACATCACAAGAAATTCAAAATGACCTTGGTGAGTGTGAAAAGTAGTTTTTGACACATCTTGCTCTTGCATACGTATTTGATGATACCCTAAACGAAGATCTATTTTGGAAAAATATGCTGCTCTGTACATTTTAGCCACCAAAAATCTGAAATGCCGCAAGTGGATATTAGAAAATCATGTGTGTAGCTTAGAGAGTTTGACATTTGAAATCTGACCATGCAATTTAACAAGTGAAGCCCGAGAATGAAAGGGATTTAGAAAGGGAAAATAAGCCTTTGATGCATAGGTGATTACATCATATTATGAGATAGTTTAAGCAAATCTGCCTCCTCCATAAAACACATACATCTGCACAAACTTCAGCCAGCACAACGTCCTAACTTAGATTAGGGGAGTAAGGGTTGTACGTGCAGTCCAAGGGTACAGACACTTGTATTTTTTCTTATGAAACTTGGTAGTGGGAAGTGAGAGTTATTTTCTGCTCTTCACGTTGCAGGGTGTTGGGAGGTAGTTGGACAAGTATGCCCCCTTGTTAGAAACATACACAATATATTTTATTCCCGCCAGCAAAGTTGCAAGGTCATGACTTGGCAAGTGAAGGAATGACACGTGAAATTCAATAGCAATTGCCAACTACACTTATTTCATGCATATGGTAGCAAAGATTTGGATTGTGAATAAAGATGGAAGAACGAAATCTGTTATGCACTATATATTATGGTTATGCACGTGCACACATGAAGTGAAAATCAAAATCAACATTGTTAAAACAAAAAAGAATGACAAGGGAAACAACATATTAAATTATGAAATAAAATTATTAAATTAATAAAATTTTTCAAAAGTATTTTGGACGGAATTAGATCAATCACATATACTAAAAGATGTATGTTAGATTGGGATAATAATAATAATTCAAATTTTCTCTACAAAGTGGACATTTTGGGGTGTTACATTATCCGCCACCCGGTGATCATTTTCCTTAAGTGATTTCGCAATGAGCACGCAAAAATTGGACTGCTCTTGTTGCTCCTTCGATATCGTGTCTTGTAAACTCCCAATCATCTCTAGCAAATTTTGCACCGCAGCTTCTACCGATTCGAAATGTGACTCATTTACTTTGACTCTATCTGCATCTGGCAGGTCAGACCAATTGTTAAGTTCATTAAACACAAATATATCAATAATGGTTAAGAATAGGCGAAATAAAAAATGAAGTAACTGTGTATATGAAATATATGATATATGAAAGAAGGTATAAAAGTAACTCTTTCATTTCATAGACCAAGTGCCTCCCTTTCTGGGTTCAAACAGCCTCCCTAATCTTTTTCTTCCGTAACAAACTTCTCTCTCGTCCTTTCTCACTCCCCCTTACAGCTACTCCCTTTCCCTTCCTTTGGGCCTTTCCACTTCCCTCACTAGTGGGCCCATATCAGTCACCCTAACAACTGGTCATGCCTCTTACCATTGATCTCTGATCGCAAACCCCCAAAGAAAAATTCAAGAAGTTGGGCCTTTGACAATTCTGTTGCTTGAGCCTCTAGGATCTCATATTCTTGGACATATTCTTGTGCTGATCCAGATTGTTGTAAGGTTGCTAGCTGCTCATACACGTTACCTAAACCTTGCCCCCCAAATCTTTGAATCAAAGCTGCTGTCAAATGTTCCCATGATAAAGCGGCTGTTTTCTTCCACAATAATCAAAACCAATGAACTGCGATACCATCCATAGATGAAGGCAAGTTGCACCTTCTCTGCTGGCTTTGTTCAATGTACCTCAAAGAATTTTCAGCCCCTGCAATCCATTAAAATTAGGTAATTCAACCTTTTGTACCCAATGTTGCTTTTCCTCCTTGTTTGTTTGTTCTACCTTCTCCTTTTCTTTTGACAGTGAAGACTCCTCGCTCCAGTCAAAATCCCTTCCTTGCGACTTCGCCCACTGCACCATGAACTGCTTAATCCCCGCCAATCTGCCAATTTTCCTTGTATCTCCAATGTTTTGGGATTCATCGATTCCATCCTCCATTCTAGCGTCTCAACCCTTGATTCCATCCCTCTGTTGAATCTGATCTGGCAGGTCGGATCAAAATTGTTAGGAACCCAAATGTAAGGACAGAAAGATGAGAAGAAAGAACTATTATTGCTTCCAAAAGAATTAAACTGTACACTCAAGGAGATCAATTCTCTTCCAAGGGAAACTCCCTTACAACGGAGCAAAGTTCTGTTTTCTCAACAGCTCAACTAAATAATACAATTGATGACCTATCCCATACCCCTCCTACCTTTATAAAGAACGTCCTTCTCAACACAACTGGCCGACCTAACTAGTGGACCACTTCATAAAAGATTGAGCCTTCTTTTCTAATGAAAATAAACTTTCCAAGTTCTAGATGTCTCTTGTTGTGGCCTAACAGGAACACTGCCAACTCACTAATTTGTTTCTTTGAATTAGCATTTCTCAGTCTAATATTTTATAATTTGGTTTGTGGGATGATACGCAAATCTGTCTTTTGTTTAAATAAAATGATTTAGAGAAGAGGATTCACTTCTTCATTTTAAAGAAGTTCTTGATTTATTTTTTATCTTCCATTGTAGATTTGAGCCATCATATGGAATTTGAGGGGCAAGAGAAAAACTTGGGGCCAGTTTCTTTTGTGGCAAATTGCCCTGAAGTAATGCCACCATCTAATATGCATTACATAGAAGGGAATGACGTCATGCTCAAAGGTTCTGTTCCTTCTTGTGAGACACCAACATTGGAAAAGGATGAGTATTACCAGAAATACGAAATTTCAAGTCATCCAAAATCAAGAGAGAACCTGACTTCTGTTGAAGAAGGCAAAAGTCAAGGATTGGATGTTGATATTGAAAATGCTGGATCCCTTCTACAGAGGAAAACCATTGGACAATATGGTGAACCAAGTTGCAATAGCAAAGCTAATTTATCTGGTGATAATGATAGTGATTCTATAGCCACCAAGACATCTAATGATACTGGAAAAGATATGGTCATTGACTGCGTACCAAGAGATTGCCTTGTTGAGGATGTTGATAGTGGTAGGAGTTCTAAGAACAAAACCATGCAGTCGGAGATGGAGTTAAGGGATGATGTGAAACAAATGACATCAAGGTCTGATCATTGTACTGCAGTAGGTTATTTTACTTTACTTATAATATGACCAAATTTTAATTTATACAGCATGCTGTCTCTTGCAACAGTAGCTTGTCCTTTAACAATGTGCTTAAATTGGTTCACACATAGTTTCTAATCATTAGGTTTTACTGATTAACTCCTCCTAATAGGAGGACCAGAAGTCTGTCTCCCAGTGCCAAGACCAAAGACGGAAACAAACGTGCTAAAATTATATGTGATTTTTTTGCTAAAGGATGGTGTATCAGAGGTAGTTCTTGTAGCTTTCTTCATATAGAAGATACTGTGAATAATTCTGACCAGGAGGCTGAAGAAGACTTAGTTACGACACATCAGAAGCGAGAACTGAAAGTGGAAGAAGGTATATCATATAACTTGTTTGGTAAAGCTGTCCAGGAATTTGCTCTATAAATATATTTATAATAAAAATATTGTCCTGTGACAGGTGTTAGGGAAAATGTTGAGAGATCAAGAATGGTTAGTACTCTACTTCCATTTACTGCTAAACTTGAAAGCATAACTTTGCACTCTTCTGAATTTACTTTGAATATGGAGCGTGCAGAATGAGCAAGAAGCAAGCCCTAGTTGTTATCCATCTCAAGAAAAACAGAACTTTCTGCTGAGGGACAACTTGTTTCCAGAAAATAGATTTGCATTTAGTGCATCAAACAATTATTTCAGCCCAAATCTTTCTTCAAATCCAGCCCATGCAGATGGAATGAATACTATTGGGAACCAACATATGTACAAAGGATATACTTCCTCAATTTTGAGTCATTCATCAAACTCAAGCTTGGTTACTCAATTTCCAGCTATAAGCATGCCGCTCTCTCATCGAATTTCAGCCCAATCAGGATGTTCATTGCCTTTTAGTTCATCTTTTACTTTGGATTCTCAAAAGCTTTTGAACAAGGACAAAGAATATCTTACCACTAAGTCCACTTTCTCTGGTTCAGGGCGGGAGGATTTGTCTCTAGTTAGTTCATCTAGGGTTGCTCCATATTCTAGTGGATATAAATCAAAAATCTGTTCTTATGATTGGGACCCTTCTGTTCCATTTCGACCATCCTTTTTTATTACTTCTATGAATGTATCAACCCCTGGAGATCTTTATGACCCTCTTCGTGATAGCATTGAGATACCTAATATAGGAGATGGGTCTTTGAAGGCTTCCCTTTTGGTTCATGGATCAACTGTACAGGCTTCATCACAGGTTCAAACATGTGGTGATTCCGCTGTTGTTGGGAAACACATGTCCGATCTTAATGATGACAAAAGTTCTGTATCTTCTCATAATAGATTTTGTGAAAATGGGCCAAACAAAAATTGTGTTCCTCATGAAAATGATTGTCATGTACCTGAAACAGAGATAACATCGGGAAGTTACTTAAACTATCATCCAAATGGTAAAATGAGCATGGGACAACATACCTTTGATGTCGAAGATAGTACAAAAAAAGACATAGAAACAACTGAGCGTGATGCTAGACATCATGGTGAAGGATCAGGGCACAAAAAGAAGAGAGTAGATAGGGACAAGAAAAATCATGAAATGGATGTTGACTTTCAAATGGATGACAGCATGCAGAAGGAATCAAAGGCACTAAGAAATTTCCGAGCAACTCTGGTTGATCTTGTGAAGGAGTTGTTAAAGCCAGCTTGGCATGAGGGTCGTCTCAGCAAGGATGCACATATTATGATAGTAAAAAAATCAGTTGACAAAGTTGTTAGCACCTTAGAGCCCCACCAGATTCCAACCAGCATAGATACTGCTAAGCAGTATGTTTCTTCATGTCGGGTGAAAATTACAAAACTGGTCAATGTAAGTGTCTTTCGTTAATAGCTGTGATAGTGATTTGTCAATGAAGTGCATGAATATTGTTATTTGATTGTGATCTGTCCTTCATTTGACAGAAATGTATTTGCTTTGCAGGGATATGTGAATAAATATTGCAAATCTTGATATGCAAGCCAAACGCCTTTTTTGTACAGTTTCTGCCTAGTTGGTTGATCCTAATTCATGAAAAGTTGTCTGAGGCTCTGTTTCATAGTCAAGGTTGATTTGGAATGTTTTTAATTCTCTTTCAGAATGTTTGCTTCATGTTTTGTGTATGCCTTCTCTTGCTCATTCCATTCTGGAGTAAACTTGCATAAATTGCATGGTTTATGAAGATACCTTATTTTCATTAATTTGCATAATTACATTTAATTGTTTAGCAGCAATATTTGGGGAAATTTTCAAGCATCTGAAAATTATGAGTAGCTACTTGGAAAGACTGGTGGGATGCATTCAGTTTTTGTTTTCATGTGTCTGAAAATAGGGAAATTATTGTAAATATAATGTCCAGTACTATAGAATTTAACAATTGCTGACATTTCAAGAGACTAGAGTCTTAGAAGTTGCAATTTGTCGAATAGGTTTTTTAATGTCCCAAATGTCAATCTTAGCGATCCTATTTTTCTATTTTCATTTGGGTTTTTTGTCATGATTATTATTGACTATGGAGAAAACTTTGCAAATAGCTGCAAGTTGGAAGTCCCCCAAGTAACAAGATGTATAGTCATATTATTTTGTTCATCATAGTTTTTAGCTATGAATTTCAGCTTCCAATCTTCATGGATGACATATTTGTGTTACTCTTCAACCCTGGACTATGCTAATGTCAGGAGAAATTCAGAACTTTATTCAGTGAGGTACTTGTCTCATTTTACTTAATCAGCAATAGTACTTTGTTCCATCATTTACACCTATGCCTATGTAAATATGTCATTTTTTCATTAAGACTTGATTCAGTATTTTTTTTGGTCTGTAGCATGTATCAATGGTTTCTTCATCCCTTCTTTCTTGCGCTTGGTCATTGGTGAAGTCAGTTTTTGCTAAAAGTACCAAGTTAATTTACAATTACAAAATTTCTTACTAGTTTATGTGATGAGATATGTGCTCAGGTTGCTTCTTTTAAAGTGAATAAATTTTGTCCAAAAGATTGGCTTCACATGCGAAGTTTCTTGATTTTTTTTTCATTCCCATATAAAAAACAGCCTTTATTTATATAAAAAAACTACTTGACACAGTTGAGGCACAAGAATCCTTGAGACAAGTTTGAGGGAAAAGTGAAAACAACGCTAATAACAGTTTGCCTTCTTATGCTATCTCTCGTTTAAGTTACCTTAGGTTGCATAGAATGTCCTTGGAATTCTATGTTATTTTATGGGAAATGGCTTGATTCAGTTATTTTGGCTGATCTTTCTTTTATTTATTCATAATTATAATTATAATAACTTGCAAAATTAATAAAATCCAAATTCAAATGAAATCCATACATAGAATGTTACATTTTAGAGTCATTATGATACAACTTATATCTAATTTTATATTTCTAAAAAATTCTAGTAACATCATAGTTTAAGGGATGCAATGTATGATAAAATTATAATTAAATATTATACAAGATACCAGTTAAAAGTTAAATTTAAGCTTTATAGAGTTGAAATTTATACTTTTGTGCGATGCGTGCACCCTGGGATGTCTACACTGTAGTCTGGACCTTTTTCCAATCACCAATAAAGTTTATTTCTATTGTCCATTAATGTTTATCTTTTGCTACATTTACTTTTGAGTCTTAAGCTTCTATTTCCTTTATTCATTTTCTACATTTTACATAAACTATCAATCACTCTCTAAGAACATGTTTGAAGAATGCGCTCCAAGACACAACCCATAACTTGAAATTTGGGATAAGTTTTTCGTAGGCCAATAAATCTCATGTCAAAACGCAACATAACTAAGTCAAGCATATAAAATATTGTACAAGCATAGAAATCTTGTGTATTTTATTTTACACCTAGCCATCTTATGCCTGAACATATGAATGGTAATACTGCAGTCGGCTTAAGCACTTTTACGCTTAAATATCATCAGTTATCGTTCTGATTTCTGAGTTTTGTTGGTCAACATGTAGGCTTCTACAATTTACCTTTCAAGAAATGAGCATCGTATGCATAATTTACGCTTGATATTTTAAATATCACTCTTTATCAAAGGTTATAATAGAATGTGCATCCATGCACCTTGACTAGGAAGCTGCATGTTAGATACCTTGGGGTCATCATGTTTTCAAGTAAACTGCGCCTAGACCAGTAAAGAAAACAGATGACGAAATTTTCTTTCTTTAGAGGCTTGAACTACACAAGTCCTTGAGCTTTTCTTAGTAATACTCAATATGTAAGATACCTTGACTTCTACGTAACATATGCATCTTAAATTTGTACATGAACATCTTAAAATCTTGACCTGACAAAAAAAAAGTCACTAGCAAGCCATATGACAAATGATTATTGATCAACAAGTTAAGCAAATGGAATATTTATAACTTTAACTAACCAAATTAAATAAAAATGATAGAAAATATCCATAATATTTGAAGGTTTATAATTTTGATCATTTGGTGTTATTACTGCAGTAAGTGACGTTGAAATGAAGCATGTCACTTGTATTCTTTTCAGACACTACTTAACTAGAAAAAGGTTGATTCCTGATTACATTTTCTGGTTTCGCACAAAAAAATCACAGAGAAAATAAACCTTGTGTCAGTAAATTTTGAGATTTTCTCCTGGAACAGTTTGTGCTTTAACAGCACCCGGCTTAATGGTTCGACACTCTCGGCATGGTGATAGAAAAGACTTCATTTTCTGGCCAAACCCTGTCCTTGTCACTGTGCTTTCCTTGTTTGTATGTTTGCTTGCTTTGTTAAGTTTTTCATGATATTTCATAGCGCTGCCTGTTTTCCTGCTTGACATCTTACTACTGCTATGAGTTGTTATTAATGAGTTTGGGTAACCGGGCGGATTTGTGATCAGAGACTGTTTCGTTTGGAAGGCAAGTGCTTGTGGTTGAAGTTGACCATTGGAAATAAGCCGGTCTGCAGGAGTGGTCTTGATTGGATTGACAGCAAAATTTAAGTTTGTTTTAGTGCTGGTAAATTCGAATTCTGGGTCATGCTTGCTTACCTGGTAGCCTTTAGTCTGGTTGGGAGGAGGAAGCTTTGGTTGCTGGTCTTGAATAGCAACAAGGCCACTAAAAGAGAGCGAGTCCAATGAAATGCTATCATCCGCAACGTGAGAGATGAGCATGTTTCCATCCATTGATTTATAACCAAAATGGTTATGTGGGATGAAAACTTATATATGCAGAAACTTGCTGGAATTTGGGACCACTTTTAAATTCAGTTGGAATGTGTTTTTTCGTTGTTTGTTTTGGTTTTATCTTTTTGTTTTCGTTGTCCACATTTTGACTGAGGGGGTAAGCCAATGCGCATATTTAATTTTAGGGGCAATTCTTTAGAAGTTTAGTTAATGTGCTGGATCACAAAAAATGATGAATAATAACTGATGAACAAAGATCAAGTGATATGGGGGAATTGATTAATCAATCACATAACTTACAGATATATTATCATTTCTCAACTCTCTTCGATGCCACCGTCTTATTGAATTTGGCCTAACTTTAAGTAGCCAATTGAACTGTGTTTTTAGACGAAGATTGTCATCTTTTGTTCGAGGTTGTCACATCTCCCGTTTTGACCATATATTCATTGAGTCTGCGTATTGGTGGATATTACGAAGGTAAAGTGATGTGTATATATATATATATATATATATGATCAAATCTTTTTATACTGATATAAGTCAAAAAAAAACTTTTACATTTAATCTGAGTTTTGAGCCTTTTATTTAATTTAAATTTAATAAATTATAATTTATTATATGAAAAATTCAGATTGAGTGTAAGAGTTTTTAAACTTATATTTATATAAAAATATCCTTCTCTTCTGTGTATATATATTGCTGAAAGTCATTGTCAAATCTCAATCAGCTTATGTGACCCCCATTTATATCTTAAATTTGTCCTTGTTTTGAGTGTGCCCCATGAGTTTACGTAATGCATTTCCACCTATAGTCTTGTTCAAGTGGCTGATCCTACGAGGATGTCAAATGGTGGGAGATGAAGAGTGGACAAGTGATTTATTATTTTTTTGCTGTGAAATTATCATAGATGACACGTTTTACTGTCGTCTTCTATTCTGGTTTACCTGACCTTGTAGTAAACCGACGGGAGACGGTTGTCATTGGACACTAGCTCTAGTAGTCATTGAACTGCTACGTTAATTTTCATTTTGTAATAAATATATACTTTGCTTTCATGAAGAGATAACCGTCCAATTGCGATCCTTTTAGATGCCAGGATTGAGAGAAAACCCAAGTCTGCCAATTATGCATGCTTTTATTCATCGAATATACATCTTTTAGAGGTTGAGAGGTAAGAGGCATATTGAGGAACAATATGTCGCTAGGATCGCAGTATGATAATAGTAACTACTAATTAAGAGGAAAAGGAAAATTCCGGTGACTGGTTTTGTATTTTCTCATAATGAAAATGTGAATAATTTGCGGAGTTGAAAGCTAAAAGTGGAATCAACCTTTAAGTCAATTTATATGCTATCTACTATAATATAGTTCACAATGCCAACAGATTACTTAGGTTATAAAAGTCTTTGCATCGTATGAGAGATATTTAATCCCAAAATGACTATGCTCTTCAACTATTAAACTAAACTTCAAACGTGTTCATGGGTTGTGTTAGATTTTGAAATTTCTGAAAATCAAACCTTTATTAAATATTTTTAATAAATTTACAAAGTGAGCAAAAATTCCGCTGGCGTTGGAACTGGCTAAAAGGGTTGGTAATGAAGTATTGCTCATAAAAAAAAAAAGTCGAAAGAAATATAGGTTTGGGTTCATTGTCACGTTGTGTTTTTAAGAGGTGTAATGCAACTCAATTATCTGATAGGCTTTAGGCCTATCAAATGTGTAATCACGGAAAGCACTTAGAAGGTGTTGATTCTTGAATATCAAATGTGTATTTTGGGTCAAAGTTAATATTGTAATTTTATAATAAATAAAAAGTTTCATTCTATTTTTTTTAAGTTGAGAGGGCGGAAAATTTGAGGTAAGTGATAGAATGGGATAATATGAATTTTATAGCATTCTGTTCCTTCATTTTTGGTCTATTATTATAGTGTTTTTGGTCTAAACTATTATAACTCAAATAATTGCAACTTATCTCATTGTATCTAATTTCAGCAATCCATTCAAAACCCAAACTTTTTATTTTTCTTTTTTCTTGTCAATTAATTAATACATCATAAACTTTTATCTAGAATAGAAGCCCAATAGTGATGATATGTTTCTTCTCTCACATTTGGAAGTACTGCATTCCCCGGTTCGAGTCTATGGGCCAGCGTAGCCTTATACTGTTTTGGACTTTTAAATCATATACTATCGCTACTTAACCAGGCCAAAAACCTTAACCAAAAAAGTTTCAGTCCAAATTAAAGCAACACACACACACACACCCGCATGAGAGAATAAAATTAGATTATATATAAATAGTTAACATTTAAAAATATTTAAAATTACACATATTTTTAAAAAGTAGTACATTTTTCATATTTTGATCTTAGTGATTTATAATAAGATTAAATGGTTAATATTATATATATATATATATATATACACACACAGGAGAGAGGAGATGATAACTTTTTTTTTTCTAATAAATTTTTGTTGTCAAAGAAATATTATTTGTAACCAATTGTAACATCTAATTTTATAATCATGGTCAATTATTCACAATTTTTAGGAAACAAATGCAATATTATTTATTTCCATACGGTTATCATTTTGTTTTTGCCGAGCAAACTTTCTTCAAATCTAGATCCTTAAACAAGGATTGACCTAATAGGCTGTATCTTAATCCACACCATGACTGCTATGATCAATGGTAACATTAAAAGGAAACATATAAACAAAAGGGTGGGGTCAATGATCCATTCCAGTCCTTATCTCGTCACCATAGACCCCCCATTGCTCTGAAGAATAGGACAAACGACAGTACTAATTATATGTTTTTATCAACACACTTGTGAGGCAACCCACTACCTACTAACCTCTCTCTCATCTCCCCAAGATATTATTTCGCGGGTCCCACATTCACCAAGTCTTCATCCTTATCCATCTCCCTTTCATCCCCTTTCATCTCGCTCTTTCCACCCCTTTTTTCTCTATTGCCACTCGCTATCACATAGAAACAAAAACAAAGTTACACTTGGAAGCACGAAAACACTTGATCCCACTTTGGTCAGAGATATTTTAAGCAATAACACTTATGATATCCCTCTATATATACACTCTACACATTAACGTTTAGAATCCTCATTAGTTTTCGTCAAGAAAGCAAAACTTCCAAGATGGTTCTCTTAGAGAAGCTTTGGGATGATGTTGTAGCTGGCCCTCAACCTGAACGTGGCCTTGGCAAGCTCAGGAAGCTCACAACCAACGTTAAAAGTAGCTTTTCAGCTTCCTATATAACAACTAATGTTTTATAAACTCCAATACATATATAGAGATATTTAAGTTAGTCCTCAGGCTCGTGCAAGCGTGTGTGATTTTTACGTGTGATTCATATGAATTAATGATGGGTTTTTTATATTTATGGGTGTAGCTGAAGGAGAAGGTAGCAAGTATCAAAGGACCTTGTCGATGCCGTCGACACCGACAACCCCGGTGACTCCGACGACCCCAACAACACCTGGGTCGGCGCGTAAAGCTGACAACGTTTGGAGGAGCGTGTTCCATCCTGGGAGCAACTCGGCCACAAAGAGCATTGGGGCTGAAATGTTTGACAAACCACTGCCCAACACTCCCACTGTCTATGATTGGTATATCTTAGTATAATTGTTATGTTGCTACGTTTCTTTTGGCTATGTTACATCAACCCCTTTTCATGCATACATAATAACATGTTTTGGATACTTAAGGAGATTTAACACTAACTAGTCACTAGGACTACATGATGAGTGTCTGAATCACTCAAATGCCTTCAAATATTTTTATGTATTTAATATGATTTTTCGATGCGAAGTCGTAGTATTATTAATAATTTTATATTATTATGCCCCAGCAGTTTGATTGAATCCGTAGGTGCTAGCGTGCAGTGTATCATTGGGGGGATATGAGCCGTTAGATCTTTTGAGAATATTAAATCAACGGCTATTGTTGCAGATAGTTGTGCTAAAATGAACTTGGGTTGTATGTGATTGCAGGCTTTACAGCGGAGAGACGAGGAGCAAGCACCGCTGAGGTGACAGCGAAGCCCGTGGGTTGCATGTAAATAGTGTCCTCTTTCGTTGAGAGGCTGCCACGTGTTTGCATCTACCATTACCTGTCGTGACTTAATTGGTCTGTTACTGACTGAAATATTAGTAGCGTGGTTGGTTTCTGGGAGCAAGTTAATGTAAAATGCTTAATAATTATTAGTATGCTTTGTTTGTACTTAAGTTTTGTTAGCCAGATTTGCCCTGTAACTATGGCGATGGCTTGATCTCTCTGTTTTGGTAAGTGATGGATTTATTAAAATAAATGGAAGTGTGTCGATGCCTCTTATTTCTATGATTGTAATTATCTAGTGTGATCAAGTGAAAAACTTAAATTGGTAATTTTATATTGGGATTTGATTTGGCTAAGCATCATAGAATATTTAATCAATGTGATAAGTATAAAGTATCATCTTTTATGGATTCCCACTGTCTTCTCATAATAATTCATTTGTAATGTTTACATTGCACGAAATTGGTGGCTGTCCCAATCATCATAATTTAATATATATTTAGTAATAAGTAATAATGCAAGTCTTTTGTCTCTATGCTCTGCCTTCTTACAAGTGAAGAAAATAAATGATGCAATGCTGATAAAGATATCTTATCCGTGCTTTGAATATCGATAACTAAAAACTAGCCCATCGCTAACGTTGAAATCTTGACTTTTCTGTCTTTTATTTAATCTTTTGAAACCAAATTGAAAATTCCACATTCTTACGTATTCGGCATTTGGGTACGAATGATTCTATTTTTCCTTTTCTACATTTTTTATAAGGTGTTTGGACGGGGCTTTTAAATTAAACTCGATGTATTGAATATTTTTTAAATTATATTAAAAATATTTATATATTTTTTAAATATACTATTAACTCTATTTCTGTATTACGTATATAATAACATAGAATATTTTAGATTATATTAAAATATTTATATTTGTTTTAAATACACCATTAATACTATCTCAGTTTAACGTATACAATAATGTAGAACATTCTTTTATTTTTTTAGAGCATAGCAGAATTTATCTTTTTATAATTCTCATTTTATAATAATTCTTTCTGATTATTAAATAGAAACAAATAATTTATATTTATATTCTTATAATTTTTATTTAATATTCTTTAGAATAATAAGAAAATTATTAATTCAATATTTATTTTGCAAAATAGTAGAGAACTATTAAAAATAAATATAGATATTTTGTAAATAATTCAATATTTATTTATTTAATAGTAATTTCTTTTTCACGTTTCGTGATCTAGACCAGTCCTGACGGAAGTTCTGGGACAGGGCTATCATGAAATCTTATATGAGGATTCGAATCCTAGACTTTTGAGACAAACATCGTATCGGCATGGTGGTTGTAATTAAGACCATTGATTAATTTGAAATAGTGGATTTTTAAGGGAAAAAATACGACTTATTCCTACAGATTGTGTCATTGTTTATCACCTTGATTCAAACTAGGAATAGGGAGAAAGACTTGACGTATTTTTCGTGAGTAGGATATTGTAAAATAAATATGTCTATGGGCCCGTGAGAATAAGAAAAAGAAAAACTGTGATCTGTCATATATCAATTTGCCAGCACACTGCATGACTCTTGCGGAATTCCCTTGCTGGCTGTGAGTTCTAATTAACATTTTCACAACATTTAAATTCAGGGTTTTTCATATACTTTTTTATTAAAGTTTAATATTAAATAATAGTATGTAATGTTTTGTTAATATTAATTGTTTTTACTAAGAAAAGATTGCACAATTTTAAAATATTTGTAATTGTTGGATTTGATAACTTACGACCATGTTCGTAACTCTTCTTATATGCGTGTTCTATACGCAGAAACTATTTTATAATATGTTAATTTGAATTTGCGTTCAAACAAAATTAATGTGGATCCAAACATACACAAAGAAACTTCATTGGTTTTTATTATTCTTCACACGTATACCCTTTGAATCTACTAAAAATTGATTGCGTAGATATTTAAAAGCGTACGAAACAACTGAAAATCGAGTAAAAAATAGCATAACAATCACATAAATTGAAATCGAGATTCGATTGTGTATCATTGTATATATTACAGAAGGAATAAATAAAGACAACGGATGATAGTCTTGTGACTTGTGAGACATCACTTGCATAACGTTGCATAGAATAGAATAATACACTAGCCCCTAGTGCAATTGAACCTTCTCTACAACAACCAGCATTGCTTCTTCGAAGTATAATCCCTCATTAATATCCATTGATAGTCATGTCTCCAACTCTTGTCTCTCCAATCTCCTCCTAAGATTTTGCCTCCTTAAAACAGCAAGAAACTCATCTTTGTCGTTAGATCTTATGTTACTCACTAGCAGTGGCATAGCTTCTAAGCCCATTAACCTGGCTACAACCCCAGGCTTACACCACACCACACTCTCCCCTCCCAAAGTGTGAGGCAAACCTAATCAAACCTGGAACCTATACCATTCTCTTCTAGTAACCTTCCCTTTAGTCTTCTACTATCACGACAAACTGATCTTCTTCCTTCTAATAAGTTCCCAAAAGTTGTTGAGTACATGGCTTCCCTACCATCAAGTGAAAACCTTGGATATTGATTCAAACCTTTCCTTGTTGACCTTAAAAAGTTGGAGTTGTTCACACAAGACATCCTCCTTATTCCACTGAAATCATCGCTTTCAACTCAAGCTGTAGTATTAGATCCTCCAGTGTTGATGAGCTTACCTTCCCAGGGAAGTGACCTTGGCAATGGTTGTTATTATTGCCAATACTACTAATTTGTTTGTTGAGAATGGAGTTTGATCCTTCACTGTAGATGCCTTTCTTCATCTTGGTCGATCAAAGGGCATGCATGCTTGTTCCTGCTTGAGAAACGACTGTCTTCAAACCTCTGATCAGGCGTCCTTCTGATGATTTGCTGATATGGAGGGTACCTGCAAAAGGCACTCCAATGGTAAAGTCAGGATTCGGTTCTGAGCAATAAATGTTATTTAATGATGGGAAGTCAACCCTTTACCTGTATTTCCTACCTTCCTTTTATAGGCATTCTATTGGGCTAATGGGCCTGAGTCAGCCTTTATACTGTGGCCCATTAGCCTGGTTTAAATAATATTTTGATTATTATCCTTAATTGGATTATTTACCTTTTAATCCTGACGAGGGGTACCCGGTCTAGTATGCCGAGTAGGTATTCGATTTCTTTTTCCTATGGGTGGAACCGAGTTGATTCCTTTCCCAGTACACTAGCCCCACAAGCCCGACGAGTTGCGAAGCAAGGACTTTTAAATGCAAATGGTAATGTTACAATAGGTATTCGGTCGAAGTGTTTCTCACTATACCGAGAGGGTCATTCGGTTAGGGTAAATTACAATACATCGTAGAGGGTGTCCGGTCTCGAGTGATGGTAACATTTAAACAATGTGTTAGGTTTTATACTAAGAGGTAATCGGTTTAGTAACAAAACGATACAGACCGAGATTATAATATAAATAATAAATTTGCGAAGGAATATTCTAGAATGTTGGTTTTGAGGGTTTGTCAGAGGGTATATGAAACGAAAGGGTGCTCCATCTCATCCGTTGATCTGGAAGGGATCTGACGGTTCAAAACGAAAGGGCGTCTTTTCATTTGTCCGACATAGTCCCTTATAAATATGTGGTGGTCCCTGCATCCCTTTCTTACTCTTTTGCTCTGTGCCGAACCCTGCATACCTTTGCTCCAAATCGACGAGTGTTCAGAGATCTTAGGCTTTTCTTCCCTACCGACTACTTGTAAGGTACGTTTCATTTTTTTTTTACTTCTTTTCTATCATGGCTGATCGTATTGAGTGGGAGGATTCCCTGTCGAATGCCTCGGGGCCGAGTACTATTGAGGTCGATATTATGAACGGAATCGAGGGGAGTGGCGAAGTTTCGTTTATTTCAAATCGGAGGGCTAAAGAGGCACAGGTCAGGGAATGCAGTAACGAAGCCGAGACGTCAGCGTCAAGTGATACTGACGCTCCTGAACCCCTACCGAGTACTAGTCCTCCTAGGGAAAGGCAAGTGTTTCCTCCCTGTACGGTACCTGGTTATGAGTGGGTGCACGGTGAGGTGGCCGCATACTTTTCTCGTTTTAAAAGAAATAAAAGTCTTCAACTCTTTGTAGATAATTGTGATATTTCTTTATGGGAGGCTTGTGACCCGTATCCTATACACCTTGACCCCTGTAAAGGGGACGAGGGCGAGAATCCAGACTTTGTTTTCCTGGGAGGTGTTGGAATGGCCGACACCTTCTTCATGTATGAGTACATGTTTAGGGAATTAGGTATCAGGCTACCCTTCGACGATTTCCAAATGGGGGTTTTGAGGGTATTTGATGAGGACATGACCATGAGCAAGGGCAAGGATCCTCTTGAAGGACTTGGAGGACCTATGACAAGGGCTAGAGCAAGGAGAGCAAAAGAAGCTCTTCAACAAGTGTTGTCCATATTAATTGAATACAAGCCCAAGTTTCAAGGAGAAAAGACCAAGGTTGTGAATTGCATCATGGCCCAAATGGAGGAGAACTAAGGCGCCACTTTGCTTCAGTTTTTAAGTTTTTAGTTTGTTTTAAATAATGGCCCAATCCTTTGTAAAGTTGGCTGACCAAATTATGTTTTGTGGTTAATCAACTAATGGGCTTTGGTTTGGTTTTATTTCAAGTTGTAATAAGGGCCCAATTGGCAACTTAGGCATCAGCCTTTGGAAGACCAAGAGGCGCATAGCTAGTGGCTGTTGGGTGACTTTTTGGTTGCCACAATTTCAGTTACAATCAGCCTTTGGAAGACCAAGAGGCGCATAGTGGCTGTTGGGTGACTTTTTGGTTGCCACAATTTCAGTTACAATCAGCCATCAAGTAGTTTCATTTTCCGTTACGGAACCTTTGTAATTCTGATGGTAAAGCTTCTATATAAGCTGAACCATTCTTATCAATAAGACAAGTTAAGTTTGATTCAGAAATATTAGAGTTTATCTCTTTTATCTTAGTGAGAGTGATTCTCCTAAGTTCTTGAGTGATTCAAGAACACCTTGGCTGTATCAAAGGGCTTTCACATCCCTTTGTGTGTTGCCTTCCTTGGAAAGAGTGATTCTTTCCTTCCCCCATTCAATTCTTCACCAAAGTTTCAAAAAAACTCAAATCTGCCCAGAATTATCTCGTTATCATAACTCTCGTTCTACTCAGCCAAATTGAGTGATTCTTGAGCCTAAATTGCATTTCAGAACGAGAACTTTCACCTCGTTTTGGAATCACCTCAATTGGAGTTCTATAACTCGAGATACCGTCATTTCTAAAATTCTGTCCAGCCACCACCAAACCAGCGTTTTTGCTTCCTTTTTCACTCATTTTTAACACCATGGACCAACACCTAATTTGCCCAGAAATTCATCACTAAATTTTCAAATTTTTCTACAAGGTTCTAACCCTAAAGATCCTAAGTCAGCCC